GTTTTTAGGCTTAATTTTGCTTCTTCAGTTTTCTTCTTAAATACTTATATGCAATTAACCCTCCGAAGACCGAATTTCTCCTAAATATTAAATCCAGTCCGTACCTCACAGGAAACAGCCGCTGTTTACTGTGAGAACCATACGGAACACACAGATACACTTCATGGAGAGAATGCAGTATATATAAGAATTCAGTCCATACCTCACAGGAAACATTACGTCTCCGCTACAGAGCCCAACAGGTTAATGCTGTTTGGGGAAACAGTCGCTGTTTACTGTGTGAGCCATACGGAACACACAGATACACTTCGTGGGCAGAATGTTAAAAAAGGGAAGAAGATGGTACATATATTTACCACTGGGCTTCAGCAGTTTAAACTTATGTTAAATTTTCGTGATAGAGCACGAATGTGCTTTCGTTTCCTTTGAAGCAAACGGCAGATGAAGGCTGAAAATGGAGCCGTGTCACCACGTCCAGCTGCAGCAACTGAGAAGCGAGGTCCCTCCAGCCGTCGGGTGGTAGAACATTGTCACCTCTGGCATAACTATATGCATTAAACGGTGCTGCTGTCTACAGGAAAGCAAATGGAGAAACTACCACATTATCACTTTTCCTGGATAGTCTCTTTCCAAAAACAGAGACACCATGTATGCGAACCAGAAGACGAGGAAGAAGACGTAAGAAGATGCTGGATGACTTTGGGAACAGAAGAGGATATTTTTATTTGAAGGAGAAAGCTCTGGATCGCATTAAGTGGAGGAACTGTTTTGGAAGAGACTGTGGACCTGTCGTCTGACTGATTACTGATGAATGAAAGACAGACACTTAAATACGACTCCAGCGTACGTTCCACCGCTGGTATCTTCCGCTTGTCTCGGTAACTGCTTCATAACACAAAGACAGAAGAAGCCGTGTTTTTATAGATATGTCGTTTGTATTTTAGTTGATCGAAATTATATCAACTGCAGAGGATACTTGTGATACAGTATGATGCTTACAAGAGGAGGCAGAGAAAAAACGACCGTGGCCTACTTAAAGATATTTGTCATCAACAGTGCATAACAAATGGAATAACATAGAGAGAGAAACTGTCTCTGTTATAAGTTTAAGATTTTTACAACAATGACAGTGGGGCACGCGGTAGCGTAGTTGGTTCAGGCACTATGCTACAAGCCGGAAGGTCGCGGGTTCAAGTCCCAATGAAGTCATTGGATTTTTTCAATTTACTTAATCCTTCCAGCCGCACTATGACCCTGGTGTCGACTCGGCGTCTAACAGAAATGAGTACCAGGAATTTTCCTGGGAAGTAAAGCTCGGCCGGCGCATAAGGCTGACTACCTTACCGCCATCTTTGAGCCGATTGTTTAGATAATGTGGGAGCCTCAACATCTCACGCTCCTATGGGCCTTCATGGCATCTTACAGGGATAGCTTTACTTTTTACTTTACAGCAATGACTGTGAATAGAACTTCTGGTATATGACACCGTCTAGTCTGGTATACGTTTATCGATGTTTCGGAGGAACATAATACCGTCTTCACAGTCGGAGAGGAAGCCAAGCGAGAAGGAAGCCCAAACGTCGGTAAACTTCTACCAGACTATACGGCGTCGTATTGCAGACGTAATCACCTCTGTGGGACCTAAAATCTGTAAGCTTACTGCGTACATTGTGGAATTTAGCCTAACTTATCGACACTCTTCCAGCTGCTCAGGTTCTGCAGTGGAGACAGTTACGGATGAATCACTGAATCACTCGTATAATTCGGGTAGCTGGAGTTCGAACCGATGAGTTTTGCTGCCAGGCTGGTGCGCATGGTGCTCTGAGTGCATTGCACTGCTCTGGATATAGGCGCCGGGTGGAGACATCTGTGAGCGGGTGGCCCAAAACGCGCATCTCGGCGAGCTGGGTGGTCCAACGTGTGTGGTGGCCCCGACAGGTGAGCGTGCAACCTGTGGGTTTGAGCCACAACTGAACTGCTTTCCATTTCTCTGGAAACGCCTTTTTGCTGGGATGTAGTTGTCCCCGTTCTTAACCCAAAGTGGTTACTATATGTACCACCCGCTTTAACATACTAAAACTCTGCATTCTGCCCACAGAGTGTATCTGTGTGTTCCCTATGGCTCTCACAATAAACAGCGACTGTTTCCCTAAACAGCAGTAACCGGTTGGGCTTTGTAGTGGAGATGTAATGTTTCCTGTGAGGTAGGACTGGATTCTTATATATTATGCAGAAGAAATCCATTCTTTAAAGGGTTCATTGAGCCCGGTGCCAAGTAGATGTATAGGCGAGTGGAGGTAGCATCAGATGTTAGTGAGTGGTTGGTTTCATCCAGCGTTGAAGATTGGAAGAAGGCTGTCATGCATGCACAACACTGGCGAAAAATCCTTCAAGATGCCATTTAGGCTGTTGGAGAGTAAATGCAGCCACCCGGCTGTGTTCTTTTACACGAATGATCCTCTGCCCAGTTTTTGTAGCTATGATCTAGAATCGAACTAGAGACCTCTAGAATATTAATCGCATTTCCGCAGACTGGAAGTACGTATTATGAAACGGACGGGGGAAACGGGAAAGTCTGAAGAAAACCAGTCACGGCACAACAGCTAGCGCGCACTTGGTGGGAGGTCCACATAATCTTGTGGGTCATTATTTATATCTGAATCAGATCTGGTATCAAATGAGAGTGTAGCTTCATGACAGACCGGAAGTGTACCTCTTGCTGCACCAGGCGGGCTCTCATGCCGTAAGTAGACTCGTCCGGCACGTAGGGGGCCTTGCTTCCAGACCCTTTGCGAGAGGGATCTAGAAACGGCAGATGTTCACAAGCCACATGTGACGTCGTCTAGTGCCATAGAAATTCATCGACGTTTTGGAGGTACAAGTATGTACTGTCTCAATACTTGTTTTTTGATCCTGAATATGTAGGCAGTTCATTCCTCCAAAACGTCGATGAACTTCAATCAGACTACACGGCGTCACATCCCAGAAGATAGTAGTCTTCATGGTAACTTCTGTGAGAACCTCAAATCTAACGTATAAATTGCGTGTTTCGCCCCTGGCACATTAGAGAGACCTAGGACTTTATGATTCTAGTGCGAGTGTATTTAGTTATCTTCTCAACTGTTGCTTTACAGTCAGCAACAGCTGCTGCTGTTTATGTTTGCCTGTAATAGACCACTGCTGTTAACAGTCACGCCAATAAATGAATTATTATGGCAAAATTTAAGTTTGTCCCGGTGCTTAATTAGGCACAAGGCCATGAGAACGGGGGAGTGGAGGTACAATTACACGCATTCTTAAGCTCTGCACTAGATAGAGGAGAGTGATGAGCTTTACCCCGGGACAGAGGTCCCGTACCTGCAGCATAAGCTGCCGGGCGAACCCCAGAGCCGGTCTGGATGCTGTGGAGAAGACAACAATTGCTTGACCTTCCTGAGAATCGAACTCTGCTTCCCCCACGTCCCAGCCCCCTACTCGCCCGGCTCAATGGTGGCTATTATTGCTATTGTTATTGCTCTACTCGTACTAATTCTTCGGTTGGTCTTCAGGTTGTTAAATCAATGAGTATGTAAACACATTTTAAAAATATAATTGAATTACGCCATGTTGTAGGACATCCTCTGCATGAATCATGGTCAAAGCTTGTACCTACGGCTTATCATGTTTCATGGAAAATATATTTCGGGTTCAGTTAATTGCTACATTAGTGTCTTCCTCGAGATATGTTCCCAGAATGGCCGCCCGCTGCAGAGACAGTCTGTCTTGTCTTCCCCAAAACGAAACCGAACAGAATAGCATGTTTTTGCTTTCTCTCTGATGTTTATAGGCCTTACAAGGTGAACGTAATACAGCGTTATGATTTTTTGGGTTATGTTTGTGTGGGTGTAGACGTTTCAGAGGAACATATGCCCCCTCCATGTTCTGGGTCGAAACGTCGATGAACTTCTGTTAGGCTACACTTCAGCACATGCCAGAAGATAGAATTATTCACTGTAATAACCTCCAACATAATTTGATATACTATCCACATATTTTCCTGGAAGGAGTAAGGAAAACCACGGACACTTCAGTGCAGTCGATATCCCGGCTGCATACAGACCAGAAACAATACCGACTGAGCAGCCAGACTGCTCGGTACAGAGGTCCGATAATGTACAGCGTGCCTCGGACCCTGTCAGCAAAAACAACACAGCAGTAACAATAGTACTGTTTATTACAATAGCAGTGTACCACTACAGTTTGTACAATGGCAGGAAGACATATTTCACTCTAAGCCTAGGGTGGCAAGATGGCCGCCGGCTGTTTAATCCACTGACTGCACAGCCCGCCCTCGCGTTATGGAATTTCAACCTTGCTGAAATTAAAAAAAAATAATAATAATAAAGATTTTTGGGCCATAAATTCACCCTTATGGAAACTTTGGACACAAAATTATTTTCAAAATTTACCCAAAACATCGACAAATTCAGCCCAAAATATCCTTTGTTAAGTTATGAATACGGTGTTTGTTAAGAAATTCAGATTTCATGCGCATGCGTCGGTGACGTAGCACGATGTAGAGCTGGCCGCTGGCTAGCATACGCGCATGTGTCAATGACGGAAGACAATTGCTGGTAATGTTCTTATTATAGTAAACATTCGCTAATCCATAATAATTTTGGGGAGGTCATCCAGTTTAAAGGATAATCCGGTTCAATGAAGAAAAAGACAAAAAGAAATCGAAAATAAATAAAGGAAAAATTTAATGATACAAGAAGTGCTGATGAAAGAAGTAAAATGTTGCTATATGACATTCGTTTAAAGATTATAAAAAGGCGAAAAGCTGATATCCTGGATATTTTCTTGCTTGATTTCAGTCTCTCCAGCTGCGCTCAACACAAAATACTCTTGCTCCTAAATGCCATGTCTTTTGAGGTATGTACTCAACTGTGAACAGATTTTGTCATGTAAGATTTGAGGGTTTCACGGCGGTGACTATGAAGAAAGCAGTCTTTTGGGATGTGGCGCCGTGTAGATATTGTGTTAACCGACGTTCCTCCGAAACGTTCGATCCGGATTAGCGAGGGTTTACTGTGTTCCTGTCTTATTTTAGGGTGTGAAAGTGTTACTCCTTTTTAAATGTTTTGGAAGAGAGTAAGTGCTTATGATGGGCAAAGGAGCGATGACCGACAGAATTTCTGTAGGGACGTATCTGCATTTATAGCACGCAAGTGGGTGGGCAAATAAGGTTCACGTTGCGGAATTTCAGTTTCAAGAATACATCCATTCTTTTACGCGGGGGCGTGCTGTATAAAGCTCCATACTTTTACTGTTAGGCCTCTGAAGGCTGTGGTGAATGTCAGAAAAATGGCCAAATCAATTTCGTTACAGCTAGGCCTTTGTTCTAACGCCATGTCAAGTAACTGACGTCATTCCTATCTTATTAATTATCCAGATACTAAAATTGAAACGATTATTTCGAAATTTTGTTTCAACGGCCTTCAAGTAGAATCCGCAAATCCATGCTAAAATTATATCGAGACATTTCTACTTAGAGAAAGCAATAAATTAAATATTCATTTTAATAAGGTGAAAAAGGAACCAGCACTATTAGATACATGTAATAATTTGGTAAAATCGTTTTATGCATTGCATCGTGCTCCCTCCTTCCTCACATACTAAACTCACCAAGTACTCTCTCGTTAAATAATTAGGATTCGAGCAATCTGTTTCATGAATCTGTACAAGCACCCAACAAAGGGCAGGAGTTCAACGTAAGACGTTCTTTGGTGTCGCAAGAGGCCACTACTGTCCATATCGTGTAGTCACTTGTCTTGTTTAAAGCTTACACTGAGTTGAAATTTGTATAAGTTCACACATCAAACTGGTAGCTCCAACACCCTGTAACCAAATTACTGAAACACGCCGCCAGATGGGAGCACTGTCTTGGATTCCATGCGGCCAGTGCGACCTGTTCCTGAGTTGCTTTTTGAATACTGAGCGGTGAGCGAGAGGTAGATAAGGTCCCTACATGTCCAGCCTGCGAAAACAAATGAAACCACAGTTATATGCAAATGAGAGCGGATTATGCGCCAATACATTACTCTCTACTAACAGAAACACACTTTGCAGAACCTGCTCCAAATAAATCTGTCCAGCCTCACATCTCCATAGCTGCTCCTACACAGTCAGTCTGCTCTTGGCCACGGTGCTCTCAGTTAGCAGCCTACAATACTTTTCCTTATTCCATGCCGACGTGGCAACACTGTACCACTTACGGCTCATATTGCACCGTTGCCAACTCCACAGACACTCATAGGAAGTTCGGTTCCGCATATAATACATTTTAATGACGTTGCCAGAACAGGGACACGAGAGAGACTAAGTGGCTATGCCCGCAAGTTGCCTACTCGAGAAATACAGACCTTTGCCATGGCGTTCAGTGACTTGAATATGGTTTGTTATAACGTTATGATCGCGAATAGCTTCTGCCATGTCCGTAGGGCACACCTCGCCCCATGCCGATGTGGCAACTGGACCACAGCGGGCGGTTCCGTGCCCCGGCCATCTCAATTTATCTAACATATCTAAGGGGTCCCTTGCAACAGCAGTTCTCATAATTATTCTGTATTCGGTGCCTACAGTGGCACAAATTTCGAGTCAGTAAATAGGTCACAAATGGAAGTAACACAGCTGTAATGGATGTAACTGTTTTTGTATGTGCATCACTAGGTAGCAGCACGGTCCAGCGTCATGACAGCCTAGGTAGCAGACGCGCATGCGCATGTTCAGAGGCTGGTTTTAGTACTCAAAATGGCGACCGTACTTGAGGAGTATAATACCGAAGAGTGAATGGTAATCTAGCGAAGGCATAACGTTTTGAGAATCAGGACAAAGAGCTGAAGGAATTATATAAAACCTCTGAAGTTGAGTCGGTAAGGCGAACATGCTGCGAACTGGAGAACCAAGGCAACGGGGTTCGATTCCTGGCAGGGACAGCACGTCTCTATTACACAGCATCAAGACCGGCCCTGGGGCCCATCCAGTGGGTAACGGGATCCCTTACATCGGAGTGTGCGTGAAGCTGTACGTCCACTCCCCCCATTACGTTTTCATGGTGTGGAGCTTAATTAAGTACAGGGGCAACTTTACCTTTACCTGGTGGCAGATATTTGATGGAGAAGGGTGGAGCGTGTGGCGAGGAACCAGTGTGAGATGGCTTGAAGATGTAGAGAATGATTTACGACAGCAGAAAATGAATACAGGCGAACCTGTACTTAAGAACTTTCAAGAAACGAACAATTCGTGCTTAAGAACATTGAACAGACTAATAAGTTGCAACTCCCAATTCATTCAACGCGAACACAGGACCCTGCACACGAATTAACATTAACAGACTTATGGAAGCAGAACACATTATGACCATAAGTCGGGCTTTGCCTGCAGTGGAGACAGAAGACGTGTAACAGAGAACTGACGTCCGCCGGGGAGGGGTCAAGCTTCCTGGTAGAACGTAGGTCTTGAGTGTTGTTCGACTGAGTCCTGAATGGGGATGTAGGCGAAGAGAGGGGAAACGGCAGCAGAGGCGACCCATACCGCTAGTAGGTAAAGTGGCGGACGCTGCCATGAGTACTCAATGTGACAGAACAGACAGACAAAACAAACTCCGTGGTTTGAGTCCGCAAGCGAACTATACCGACCGAGCGACCGCCGCTTGTCGGCGAAGTTAGTGCCAACTTTAGCGGATAGATGGTGTCACGTGGTCAGCGCAACGATTCCCCACGGCCGTTAATTTCGGTTTTCTAAACAGCAGCCGCTATTTCCTTGAAAGAGCTTCTCAATTATCATCACGAGGCTGAGTGGACCCCGTTCCAGACCCACTACTTCTCAGAAAATTTGTTAGCGCCGGGAATCAAACCCGGGACGTATGAATAGGTAGGCAAGAACTGACCACTAGACCACAGGGGCGGTCCTCAGTGTGACGGTAAGTAGGCGACAGGCCGTGCCATAGCTCAGGAGGTTAGTGGCCGTTTCGAGCCCAGGTCACATGTGGGTTTTGTGGTGGACAAAGTGTACTGGGGCTGGTTTTCTCCGAATAATTTTCGGTTTCCCCTGCCAATTCTCATTCCACCGACTGCTCTATCATCCGGGGCTGGTACAATAGGGCAGTTAGTGACCGACTGTCCCACCCCAACCCAAGAAAAGAAAAATGTGTATACCTGTGTCAGGTGAAGACGGCCCATCGCAGTAGCGACGCCATGAGCTGCACCACGACTAGGCTGACCGCTCGTGGGGAGGCCCCACTGGGAGGGGCGGGGGGCGGCAGCTCCTGGTGGTCGGAAGGCTCCTTGTGGAAGCAGAGGCGGGCCATATTGGTGCGGATGCGGGGGCAGTCGTACTCCTCCTGGCCGTCACAGCGGCACGAGTTCAGCTTGGCCGCCTTCTCCTGTCTGCGCAGGATGGAGATGCTGTTGTTGCAGCGGTGCGTGCACTTCTTGCCGTGGAACATGGCGCGGCAGTAGCGGTGGTAGTAGTCCAGGGCCGTGGAACACAGGGCGTCGGCGGTGCAGATCCACTGCGCGACGCGACAGCTCACGATCGTCTCGTTCCGATTGGCGACGAGCACGTGAGGGCGGCAGATCTCCACCTTGCGCTTCGTCTCCTCGCAGAACTCGTCTGCGCAGACGCACGTCATGAGGTCCTTACCCTCCTCAGTGGAAGTGAGGGCAATGAGGGCGTGCTGGCAGGACTCGGGGCACGAGGCCGCGGGCCCGTGGAGCACCCCAGAGCAGCCCACGATGTAGTTCTGTAGCGCCATGCCACAGCCGGTCCGATAGGCGCATTTGAGACGAGCCTCTTCGCACGACGATGACGCCAGCACCACGCGGAGCACACAGCACACCGCCATCGCCAACAGAGGGAACATCACCTGGAGCACACCGAGTTGTTCGTTATAGTGGCTGGGGAGGCAGTCCCTGCATGCAGACCACCAACTCACATAAATCTGGCGCGATTGGCAAGAGAAATCTGGGTTAAGTACGGAGAGTGGCCGGTGCCCGACCCTCCCCGCCCCACCCCACCTTTGTAATGTCGAGCCTTTCCGTGTTCTTAAGCAATCCAATCATAAGGTAAAGTTTTCATATGTATAACGCGTGTGTAAGGGAAAGAGATAATCTTTTAATGCACCTGCATAGACTTTTGGTGGAATCACCACTTACTCCAGGCTTTCTTGTAAACTCACATGTTTCGGCCACACAGGGCCATCATCAGATATATATATATATATAAAGTAAGTAAAGTAAAGTTATCCCTGTAGCAGGCTGTGGAGGCCCATAGGGTTGTGAGACGTCGAGGCGCCCACATTTTCTCTAGACTGTCGGCTCATAGATGGTGGCAAGGTTGTCAGCCCTACGCGCCGGCCGCCCTTTACCCCCAAGAATACGCAGTAGCGTAGTTGGTTGAGGCACTATGCTACAAACCAGAAGGTCGTGGGTTCAAGTCCCGATGAGGTCATTGGATTTTATTTTTCAATTGACCTAACCCTTGCAGCGCACTATGGCCCCGGGGTCGACTTAGCCTCTGACAGAAATGAGTACCAGGAATATTCCTGGAGGCAAAAGGCGGCCGGCCGGCGCGTAAGGCTGACAACCTTGCCACCATCTATGAGCCGACAATCTAGAGAAAATGTGGGCGCCTCGACGTCTCACAACCCTATGGGCCTCCACGGCCTGTTACAGGGATAGCCTTACCTTACCTTACTTTACTATGCGATTTGAGTACCCTGAATTGCCTTTGTTGTTTCTTGCGGCTGGTGCTGTCTGTCCTATGCACACGGTCTGCACATTTAACTTGATAAATGCCGCTGCTGCTGCCATCTACTGTGAGTGCGGTTATGTAATGTGTTCTGTGTGCAGGAGACTATATTAATCTTCTTGTGCGTTGACATAGTTCTGTGATTTTTCGTGTTTCCTTACCGCTGTGTCTAAAGGTAGCCCATTTTGTTTTTGTGGATGTGGGGGTTAGTTTGCATCTTGTTATACTAATTACTGTGGCATGCAGATTCGTTGCTTGGCAACGGCTACGAAATAAACGGCACAACGTTATCTTTAGAGTGCTACTAATGGCGTTTAATAGTTTCCTTTTGATTCTTTGTTACTGTATGTGTGTGTAGTCTGTATAATAAGTTATTTATGCCCCTGTGAGTGACGAGTATCTGCAAAATTACATTCTGTGTCTTCGCGATGTGCTGTAAGACCAAGAAAGTGGAAGGAGTTGAGTAGTTCATTTTGCATACAGAATTTTATGAATGTTTTTAATTCGCTGAATAAATTTATGGTAAAAGGTACAGGCACAGTTCTCCCCGTGCATAATTAACTAAGGACCACACAATGAAGACGTACGGAGGAATGGCGGTATACCTCCACTATTCTGACCTCGGCACTACATGGAAGTGAGTGGACAGTTTAATGTTCCGGTGATACAGCCCCGGTGCCTCGCTGTTCGGGCACCAAAACCTTTCTGGACGCCGTGGAAAAGGGAAAAATTTGCCGGGAATCGAATTTTGACAGTCCAGATTGTAGCAAGCATTTTTACCCTGAAGATTTAGGCGAAATATTCATCCGAAACGTCAGGTGACTTTCAACAGACTACACGGCTTATACCCCACATGAATGAGAATGCAAGGCCTCGACAAAACCAGTTACATGTGCGGTCTCTTCTCTTGAAGTTTTAGATCATGATCGTGTTAATATTTTGCTTATTTCTCCATGTCACGTGTTGTTTTCGAGATAATGATAGTCAGATACTAATGGCGTCTCTCAAGGTCGGGAAGGAAACAATTATGACGTCAGGGTTCGCGCCATGCACGTCTCAAACACAGCCCTTCGATGAGATTTCTATAAAACGCACAAAGAGATAATTACATATAGTTATTAGGCGTTCTTTACAAAAAAATATAGCTGTCTGATTCAGTATGAGTGCCTAAACCGTTTCAGGCATTTTTTTAAAATCCGTATTTGCAGCTTTCCCTGGAAACTGTCTGACTGCTATGACTTTCAGCCATATTTACCCATAATAAAATTCGCCTTACGTAAGGCCAAAAATACATACATATATCTTTCCTCCTGAGTTTTGTTTTAAACCGTTAGTTAAAGTATGTAAACACATTCCATGTATTCTGCTTCTGTTCCTGTTGCTCCCACTTTGAACAGTACTAGGCTACAAACCGGAAGGTCACGGCATCGAATCCCGATGAGGTGGATTTTTTCAATTGACCTAATCCTCCCAGCAGCACTATGGACCTGGGGTCGACTCAGCCTCTAACAGAAATAAGTACCAGGAATATTCCTGGGAGGTAAAGCGGGGCCGGCGAGTAAGGCTGACAACCTTACCGTCATCTGTGAGCCGACTGTCTAGAAAATGTGGGAGCCTCGACGTCTCACAATCCTATGGGCCTTCACGGCCTGTTACAGGGAATACCTTTACTTTTTAGCCACTTTGAACATAGGGCATCCGTGAAACACTTGCTTCGCTTGAGTTTCTTAATCTTATACAATCGGTAGGACTCCTTAGACGCGGGATCAGGCCGTCACAAGGCCGCTACCTAACGCAAACAGACATCTATGCCTTGAATGGGATTGAAACCCACGATCTCAGTGTTCGGGCGGGCGAATACATTGTACGTAGGTCTTAGACCTCGCGGCCCCTGTGATCGGCCATGTATGCTTAGTAGACTGTAAAGAACGCCTTTCACAATTTTATGCAGGCCACTTAATTATGGAGCACGCCTCTCCTGTCTTGTTTCGATTACGTTAGAGTGGTACACGTCAGTGGGAGAGTGAGGCCATGCGGTTGTCTCCTAGGACCAGACACGGTCTGCCGCTAAATGGAATTATGATGTATCCTGTCTGAAGGGCTGCATGGCCCACTCTGTTCAGTGGCTGCACTCAGTATCCGTGCTCCGAGAGTCGTAATGCAGTGGGCGGCCACAGTCGCGCTCCCGTGATAAAACAAAACAAAGAAGAAAACTGGATCTTTTCGGTGAAAGGTACAGAGGTTTTGAACCGATTCAACTGCGCTGCAAACTAATGGGAAACAGACTGATAATGAAACAAGATGGAATTAGTGTTTTCGAGGGTATGAAACAGTCCATCGTTTGCACCATTGCATCTCTTACAGTGTTCAAATGACTAAAATATGTGACATGTAGGCTCAGTGCCAAGTAACAGCCGTTGCTAGGGAACAGCTCTCTAAAGACGTTTCCCTGGAAACAAGAGAACACGCAATAATGGAAGAGACGTTTTCTGTGCGGCCCGTGCCGGGGCTATACCTGCCGTTCGACATACTGTATTGTCTAGATACTGATATCGTCCTGAAGTAACCCACAGATTTCTTAGACCGTGTCAGGACAATATGGCGTATAGCTGTGACGTGTGCAGGTCCCAGAGAATCTCACACGAAATTCATCTAGGGATCCTCAACAGTTCGTCCTTCTGGAGGAACCAGTTCGGATTGCGCCCTACTAAGTGAGGACAATGGGTCTCTTATGGTCCACGTTGAGTCACCGCGGTAGGACGCGTCTTCAGGTTGAGGATGTTACAAATGGCCGCCACGTGACGAGGGTAGCGGTGAACGTAGTGCAGAAACAGTCGCGTATCCTCCAGCTCTGGGGTTTGTCGTGGGGCTAACAGCTCCTCACAATGAAAAATCAACATATTACGAAATGTTATACAAGGCTTCAATACTTGAACGTAGTTTGGACCTAAGAGACATAAAGAAGAAAATTACGTAATAAGAAGTAATAAGAAGGTTTATAATTTGTATTCCACGCCAGATATTATTAGATTAAGCAGATCAAAGAGTAAATAAGATCTAAAAGTTTGTGACGATGGTACATTGGTACAAATTGTTATGTTTCTGGATGTTATCCCGCGTCCTGTCTTTAAGACGATGGATAATGTCCAAAAGCATTTGTACCAGATCAAAGGCGACGGAATGGACAGGGCAAGTAGCATGCATGAGGGAGAAAAGCTGAAGGTATAAACCACTAGGAAGACCCAGTCTTAGATTCACTCATCACTCTCGGAGCTGAGCCCTTCTTGAGAAGCCGCCAATTGTGCAGCTTCTTCAGAACAATTTCCCAGCATTTTATGGGACCCAAAGGTTCAATACAGTGTTCACAAGAGCCCACTACTGGTCCCAGATCAATCCAATCCATACTATCCCATTCTATCTCTCTAAGATCCATTTTAATATTGTCTAGCTACCTATGCCTTGGTCTTCCAAGTGGTCTCTTTCCATCTGGCTTTCCCACTGATGTCCTATAGGCATTCCTCTTCTCCCCCATTCGTGCTACATGCCCTGCCCATCTCATCCTTCTTGACTTGATCATTCTAATTATACTTGGAGAAGAGTACAAGTTATGAAGCTCCTCATTATGCAGTTTTCTCCAACCTCCTGTCACTTCATCTCTCTTCGGTCCAAATATTCTCCTCAACACCCTGTTTTCAAACAAGCTCAGTCTGTGTTCCTCCCTTAATGTCAGAGACCAAGTTTCACACCCATACGGGACCACAGGCAAAATTAAAGTTTTGTATAATCTAATTTTTATGTTTTTGGACAGCAAACGAGAAGACAGAAGGCGCTGGACTGAACGGTAGCAAGCATTACCCGAGTTCAATCGCCTCTTATTCGTTCTGTTATCGTTGTTCCCAAATATCTGAACTGTGCCACATTTTCAAAACATCTGTTTCCTATCTTTATGTCATGATTTTGCCCTGCATTTTGGTGACGAGACAGCAACATATACTTAGTTTTGTCTGTGTTTACTGCTAGACCAACCTCCTTACTAGCTTCAATCAAAGTTTGTGTTTCTCTTTATGGTATCTACATTATCACCCAGTAGATTCACATCATCGGCATAGACCAGCA